ATTGTGTTCCGGCGCCGGGATTTTGCAATTGTGGGGGAAATTCTTAATGTGAGGTTAACATTAATATTGTCAGTGGCAGCGGCAGGTCATGGTGTTGATTGAGGGCCGTCGTCGAGAGCCGCATCTCGACAACAAGCAGAAAGACAAGCCTATGGCATGATTGGGCAGCTTACCGCTAACCGCTTGACTCAGGCCAGCGCCGGCCCAAGGCCAGAAGAGGCCGAAGATCTTGCCACTGTCCTTTCTTGTCATCCGCTGCCAGATCGCTGGCAGGCCAGCAGAAGATGCAAACCTGCAGGATCGCTGGTCGTGATTTTGCGGCTTTGCAACACATCAGATTTCGTCCGGTCGTGCAGAACAGAGCATGTCAGGCAGCGAAGCAGCCTCGGAGTGGAGAAGCGCCGCCACCAGAAATTGCCCTTGGCCAGGCCAGGTGAGCTGAGGTGCGAAGCTTCAAGAGACCGTGGGATAGCTGGATGGCTCCCATCGGGTTCGCCTGCCTAAAGCGACAGCTGAGCGCACGGTCATGCGGGTGTGTAAAGATGACCATGCGGATGTGTTTTCTATGGCACATGCTCCCTGCAAAGGCTGCTCCAACGGCACCAGCACCACCTGGTGTTCTGCCACCAGCTGGGTGAGGTGCCCAGCATGGTGCTTCAGGCTGCCGCTCCTAGGATCGAACGCTTGCAAAGCAACATCCTGCAATGTCTAAGGTTAAAAGTGTGGGCCCCTGATATATTAGCCCTTTTAGGCGGATTCTAGGGATTTTCAAGGATAAGCATAGGGTATATAATATATGATATACAAGGATCTCAGGGTTAAGGGCCCATACTAGGGGCCCATGGTTTTGACATGTTTCAACCTTAGACAAGTGCTGCAGTCATGGCACAAGCACAACATAGCACAGCTGTCAACTCTCAAGATTGCACATGGCATCAGGTCTCACTGGTTCAGCAGCAGACCAGCTGCAGCCGTGTTGTTCAGTTGAAAGGATTGCACGATTTGCGGAAGCAGACCAGCTAAGCTCGCAGACAAGCTCAAGCACCAAAACAGAAACTGGGCCAACCAAACACAACTGACTCAAACCAAGAATGGATCGGGGTTTAGGGAATGGTTTAGGGCTTCCAGGACTGGATCTCCCTTGCCGGCTTTGTGGTTTTGAGGTGAGGCTTTTAAGGCTTGGCCTTCGGAATTTTAGGGTAGGCTTTAAATGTTCAGGTGTTGTCTGTAGGGCGGGCATGGTGTTCATTTTTGAAAGTACTTCAATGTTTTGAGTTGTATATCTGTATATTGGAGAAGTTCAGGGTCTTCAGGCTATGCGGCTATACTGTACCCAACCTAATCTCACAAACCTAACCTGACCCAACCCAATCTGGCTACGTAGCCTAATCCGGTCCTGCCTAACCAACCTAAGCCACCTAACCAACCCAACTCAACCTAACCTGACCTGACCTAATGCAAGCACATGCCTGTTGAATCAGTTTTCTAGGTTAAGGGCTCAACTTTTTTACGCGGATTCTTCTTGGCTGTAGGGTTTTTACGGTCCTCTGAGGTCAAAGGTGACAACTGTTGGGATCGGGCCTTTGCTTTTTCAGGGCGTATGATTAGCCATTGCCAGGATACATTCTGGTTGTGTCAGGGGACTTGCTTTTGTGAGAACATTGCTCTGCTTTTTTGGTTGGCAGATGTGTTGCTGCGGTTTCTGGGGATGGGTTTGGGTGATTGTCATGTATGGTTCCGTCAATTGCATGCCTGGTGTGCGAGAAGTTATCTATCCGCAGATTTCCGCAAGCTTTCAGCCAGCAGTATTCAGCATCAACTCACTTCCCCCATCCTCATGCAAACGCTCAAGACAAGGCCATCACCACCAGCTGCAGCGGTGATCGCAGCTTTGGTGGCAGCACAGCAAGCACAAGCAGCTCCGCCTGGCTCCGCGCCGCCCTGCTCTGAGCTCTGAGTGTGCAGGGATATGCAGGGACATGGCATTTCTTTTGCAGACGCAGAGTGCTTTGCTGCGCTTCGCTTGTACAGGTCGCCTCAGATTGCTGCACTGACTGCAGCTATTGCTGCAGCAAGGCAAGCAGCACCGGGTGCAGCTGCACCAACTGGTGCGCCCGCCGCAGTTCCTGGTGCGGCTGCAGCACCTGGCACACAGCCGCAGCTTGCCTTGTTGGGTTTACGTCATGCAGTCCAAGTATTCTCAAGGAATTGCATCAACAGAACGCAAGCTAGCTGTGGCGTTGAAGAGTCTGAAGTACTCCTGCAGCAGTCTGAGTCCACCTAGGCCACAGCTGACAGCCCTGATTGCCGCTCTGGCCCAACAAGGTGCCGGAGCTGGTGCACCCCCCACTCCCACAGCACCTACAGCCCCACTCGCTGCTCCCACACAACCACCCCCAGCACCGAACCCACAAGCAGCTGCCATCCTGGCTACGCTGCAAAATGCTACGACCGCCCCAGCACAGAACCCACAAAGCGCCGCGCTTGTCGCGGCCTTGGCGCAAAATCCACCCGCTGCCCCGCCAAATCCGCAAGCGCTTGCCATTCTAAGCGCCCTTGGCGCGCCATCTGCCGCAGGTGCTGCACCCACTGCCGCTGCTGGTGCCACTGGTGCAGCCGGCGTACCGCCTGCATCTTCACTCTCCCCTCAAGCAGCTGCAGTCATTGCTGCTTTGGTGGCAGCCAAGTCCGCAGCTCCTGCAACTTTGCCTGCGCAGCCCTTGCTCGGGCTAGCACCGCAGACAACTGCCGGGACAGCCGCACCGCCGAATGCATCCGGGCAAATAGACATAATTGCGCACTTAGCAGCATCAGCACGCATCAATGCAGCCATGAATGCAGCCTATTCGCCGCCTGAAGAACAGCAGCCAGTTCCACCAGCACCAGAGCCAGCAGCTTTTGACAAGGATGCCTTACGCCGCCTAGCGCAGCGAGCAGCCGAGGGCCCCATCGAAGATGAGCCTCCTCCCCCGCCGCCACCTGAACCAGTTCCGAAGGTTGCAGCCATGCCAGCCGACTCCTCGGCTACATCTCAGGTTGAGCATGGCCGTGATTATCTGGCTCCTCAGGAGGCCGAGCAGGACAAGGATATAGACGAGCCTGCAGCCTGCAGCTCAGACCTGCCAGCTGCGCCTTCTGCAGATGCAGCCTGTGTGCATCCGTATGCGGCTTTGAGGCAGACACAACATCTGATGCGGCAGTCTGGCGCAAAGTCGAGTTCTGCAGATGCCAAGATGGCAATTTCTGACTGCTAGGTAGCTGTTCCGGCTGCCCCGGCCCAGGCGCGACTGGATGTGGAATTCACATGTTTAGCTTCGCTAAATTGCCTAATGCTAATGGCTGTTAACTCCCTGTGGTAGGAAGATTCATGGGCAAGCGCCCTCCTCTGCTATGGGGAGTTATGTGAACAACCTCACACGGAATGGAGGAAGAAGTGAACCTAGCTGACCCACACACCCACATTGAGGATCCAACGCGTGCGTGGGCGCCGGAGCAATATCAATCACCCACAAATGTATGGAACCAGACTTTGGCTCAGGCGGAAACAAGGTCAGCAAGGCCATGGCCATGACTCTGACTGGACAAAAGCCGAAAGAGTAAACAAAAGGATGAGGGAGAGATCGAGAAGAACATGTGGAGTCAAAAGCACGGAGGCGGAATGCAGGGGTGGGGGCGGGGGTCTAGGGGCTGGGAGGCACGCCTTGGGCCAATGATGCCAATGTCCATGCACAGATCAGAGTATGTAAGGAAGAGGGCAACGGAGGGTCAAGGCGGCGAAGGAGGAAGAAGGCTAGGCAGCCGCAAGGAACATATATGAAGAAACAACGTGAACATGAAAGCCGTGGATCATGAACGTCGAAAAGGCTAACGGAAGGGAATGACTGCAGAAGGCCTGGAAAGGGCAGAGGAGAGAAAAGAAGAAAGGCGTAGAAAGCGGAGTGGCAGAAGTGAAACAGACGATCAAGCAGCTCTCCTTTCCCAACACAACACTGCAGTCGGTTAAGACTAATTTTCCCTGTTAGGGGAGATTCTTATTTGCCAGAGAGGTTAACGGATGCTAACTAACTACAATGAAAAGCTCGGAAAACCGACTGGTCATCGCATTTTTGGCCAGATCTCGATTCCTTTGAGAAGGTGGAGCTACATGTCATTCCTGCCGAGTCACGAATTTCCTCACAACACAGCAATGAAGCAAAGCGAGAGGGAGGAGAGGACAGGCAAAAGGGTGGAAATGGCAAGGAAGGCAATGGACGGGGAGGCAGAGCATAGCGCCTTGGAACGCCTTCCGGTTGGCAGACATGTTGGCCAGATGTGAGCACATGTGAGCATGTCTCTTGTGTATGAGGGCTCATGGGAATGCACGTGCTAGCCTGTCGGGAACTGATCCTACTTCCTAGTACCGTACGCATGCTATTGGCAGGACGATGAGACGAACGGTGCCCATCTCAGCTGCAACAAAGATCTTGAATGAGAACCTGACAGTGCACTTGGCAGGTTCCATTCCAGCTGCAGCGGAGGTGCATGTGGCAGCTCAAACGAATCCAGGCAGCGCTCAGCCCTGAAGGTGGAAGTGAAAAAGAAGGATTCTTCATCTATCGCCACAATGCTCAGCTATGTGGCGTCCTCGTTTCGGGAGAGTGTTTAATGTTGTTTTTGCTGCAAGCTTCTTGTATTGATCTGGGCTCAGGCACAGAGCAATGTTGCGAAGGGCAAGGTGCCATCCGACAAGACTGTTGACACAGCTTCCTTGCAGCAGGCACAGCTTGAGATGCTTCAGACAGAGAGACTGTGGGTTGTTGCCTTCTTGTCTTCGAAGTGCAATGTCTAGAGGCGTTTACGATTGGTGGGGGAGCAAGTGGCCATGCCTCCAGCGGCTTGAAGGGGTCCGCTTTCTTATTGGCACTGCATCAAATCTGTCAGCTAATGCTTGGGGTGGGAAGGTTGTCACCTGTGGAAAGCCTTTGTCAACGACTGGACTCAGCAGGCAGAAGCTGTGCTGTGATGCAGCTGCTGGAGTGCAGATGCAATTCGTGTCCAATCAGCGCCACCAGGGTGATTTTTGCATGCAGAGGAAGACAACCGTAATTTCATCGCTTACGCGAGACCGCCTCGGCAAGGGTAGAGGAGCGCGGCCAGCTGAGCTCCGCCCCCTTTGCCTGCCCCCTGCCCTCGTCCCACCCCCGAAATCCGTGTTTTTTGCCGTAGCTTGGGAGGGGAAGCCGGTCGACCAGCCGAACCCACACTCCCTCTCCCCCCAAACAAAAACAACCGACAAACACACAAACAACAACAAGCGCGAATCTATCCTCCTGAATCGCGTCCGCTGAGAA